ATACCTCTGCAAATCAACAAATTTGACGTACATTTGTACAGATTTGCTCGTAAAAATACTCAGCGATACTACACAACAAAACGTCTAATAAGATATAATTATCATCCAACTACACTTCGTAGAGTACAAATAACGCCATAGAGGAGTACAAATATCACGCGGTATTTGTACTCTAGAGTACCGGTTAAACAGGTTTTCTCTTAGTTAGGAAAAAAAATGCCGGACAATTTGAATCATATTTCCGACGACGAAGAGTTAGAATGGCTGGCAAATATACATCCAAGTTTATCAGATGAATCGAACGAAGAAAAACAGCTAGACGACCTGGAAATTTCTTCATTCATTGAAGAAACAGCAACACGACAACGCGCTAAATCCGTTCCGCTTCGCATACTTCTGTCACGCAATCCCCGTAAATAAATATCCCCGAAGTTCGTCCGCACTGAAATAACAGTTTGGCGTGTTGAATAATAAATAACTTATCAGACGTTTTGTTGTGTAGCATCGCTGAGTATTTTTACTCATTATTTTTATTTTGACTCGCCCCAACGGGCTCGTCAAAATAGGTCACAACTCGCAAAAATACGCATCGATACTACACAACAAAACGTCTAATAAGATATATGTATCGAAAAAACAAGCTTGGCCAATAAAGGATTTCATAAACAGCAAAAGGTTTTCGCCTTAATGAGAGTCAAAAATACCTGTTTATTTCAAGAAAACAGAACTATCAACTCACGACTGATAAACCGCCGTGATAGTCTACTGAAAAGCTGATATTTTGTGCAGCACCTCTTCGTTGAAGCAAGCGTCGAAGACCCCCCAAAAAATTTACCAAGACGCCAGAGGCATTAGCGTCAAAAATCGTTACCGGAAAAAAAATCCGAGCTCGGTTAACGATATCTCGCCCACCGGACTATCCCCTACTCAAATTGTACTTTTTCCTGCCAAGGAAAAGTGACTAGGAAAAAAAAAAAAAACCAGCACGGTTAACTAGGCTCATCTGAAGAGGCCCTCAGATGTAAATTGGATACGGGACTGGGGAAGACAGACACAAAACATCAGATTGTTTTTCTTACTTCCTGATAAGAGGTACAAGCCATTCGGGTCCACGGCTAGGCTGGTCACCGCATCAAGGTGAGCTACCATGGTGTGAATTTGTTTACCTAAACCAAATGACAAACAAACATCACACAACTGTAAATACAACCGCATGCTCACTACTACTTGCAAAAACAGTTTCCTTTACTTTAAGCAAAGTCCAAAATGGACGACTGGACAATGCATTCATAGATAATTCTGCGCCGCAAAATCGAAGAAAAACTGATATGCGCTACTTTATCATTCGAGACAAAAACACACGGAAAGAAACAAAAACTACGAACAGACACCATAATAAACATCAATCCATCCTAAAAATTGATCTCGAGGTTCAGAGACGGTAATTTTTGTTTTGCAGTTTTTTTCTTTTTTCTTTTTCTTTTTTTTTTTCTGGGAGCGTAAATGGTCACTGCCATGCAAATTAAAACACAAGTTATTAATGAAGATGGAATAACACAAAAAAAGACATCGATTGAAAAACATTAATTCTGATCAATTTAGGTCAATTTTTCTACTAAAAATAACATCTATTCACCGGAAATTTAAGAAACGTTTGTACTCATGAATTTGAATGAGCGACTTGAACGGGAGAATCTTTCGCTCGAGGTCCTGACGAAAGGACCGAGCGAAGCGAAATCAGTGTGTTAGGACTGAGGACCCATCAGAATACTCTCGTCCAGCCCGACCAAACTCAATATTTTATCAACGGAGGTCTTATTTTAAAATTGTTGAAATTATCTTAGAGCCAAAAAAGGGCGCGATTTCATACATAAGAGTGCGCGATGAAAAACTACAAAAAGGTTGTTACGCCGCAAAAATGTAATCATCGCTGCAAAATGTAATACTGACGCAAAATGTATTAACAATCGTCGCAAAATGTAATACTTACGCAAAATGTAATAACATCAACGCAAAATGTAATAAATCACTCAACGCAAAATGTAATAAATCACTCAACGCAAAATATAATAACTTTTCAACGCGAAATGTACTAACTTTTGTGACGCATTATGTAATGACGCAAAATGTAATAACTTCTTTTAAGGATAATTGAGAAACACAGAATGTGATACAAGTGGGTAGGGGAAGTCAAAGTACTGGGTGAGAGATCTACGGCAAACTGCGCAAGTAATGTGCATTCAGGCAGATTCTCGATGAATTTGGATGGCCATGTTGTTTTGTTTGCTGGGAGACTTTGTAATGATTAACAAACCTAGCTCCACCGATTAAAAGCGAGTTTCGCTTATTTCCTGAACGAAGTTATTGTGCATCACTATGCAGTTTGTTCCGGGATGAAAAAAGAGGACCAAGCTAACGTTGAAACTAAAACAAACAGTCTTAAACAAACGATAAAATAACATCCAATTATCATGTTACTAAGTGTAAGCACAATCGCAACTTTCACTCCTTGGCTCTTATTACTGATTCTTATTATTCACTTGTAAATAGTTCAAAAAACTTAGGTCCATAAAACATTATTTTTCTGATCTCATTCAAGAGCTATGGCCTTTTGCGTCATTACATAGTGCATTAGAAAAGCTATTACATTTCGCTTTGAAAAGATATTACATTTTGCGTTGAGTGATTTATTACATTTTGGGTTAGTATTACATTTTGCACCGATTGTTATTACATTTTCAGTCAGTATTACATTTTGCGGCGATTAATGCATTTTCCAGCGTAACAAAGGTTCTAAAATTTTTCCTTCCGCAATTCACCAAAAAGCGCGACTTTTTTCTCATTCCAGTTTTCTATTAAGTTTACGTCCACAAAAAGAGTTCTGGAGCCGGACGGCTTCTTCGGAGCCAGCTTACGTCAGCCCGTCCGCCTCTACACACGTCAGCTTTTATTATGGTTTTCCTTTGGATTGCATGAGGGTGGACGTACAGTTCAAGCGATAAAACACGCAATTTGGTTTACAAGGGACAGAATATCTGCATAAAAAAGAAAACTTCAAAACGTTTATTGACTCGACTGCTTACGTCCGCTAGCGAAGAATAACACATGCAGTATCAGCTGATGCAAACCAACTAGCATTTAATATTAAATAAAGAAGCGGAACCGACTAAGAAAAAATTCTGACGAAGAGCACGAGTTTATTGAGTGTTATTTTCAGTGTGAGTATTTCTGTTTTGCAGCATTTTCAAAGAAAGAAAAATAATAGGTTTTAATAAAATGTTCACCCCCGTTGCATTTTTTTCCAAGAAAGTTACCAAACTATCGCTGAATAATAAAGACAACATTTCGCTTGACGTTATCGAATGGCTTCAAAATATTATGCGCTCGTTAATAAGTTTCATTCTCTTTCACGTTCTGAGGTTCAACAAGACACACTCGGCGATTTCTTTTCGGTGCGAAGAGTTCTCGGACGACTTGTTTGAATCGACAAGTACGCAACGAGTAAACGATCGGACCACAAGCGCTGGTTAGATAAGAACAGAAAAAGGCGAAGAATTCCAACCAAGGAAGTCCAATACCCCTTCTCACGCAAATACCGTGCGCCATTGCAGGCACGAAGCAAACGAGGTATGTCCCAACGACGATAGCAATGTTCCAAGTGGTTTGAAGTTCTTTTTTCCGGAGGAGCATCAGCATTTGTTTGCCTTGGGAAGTGCATTCATCTCCTCCAGTTAAGGCTTCGATACGCATTCGACTTGCCCTAACAGACCGCCAAATAAGACCTCCTAAAACGGTTATCACTAACGAAGGGGCGCCTAACAAAGCCAAGGCAACTTTCCAACCCTCAGTTTTATATAAAATTCGACGATACTCTATCAGGGTCAATCCCTCATATTGGGATAGGGCATTGTCGCGATGAAACCCTAAGAATGTTATCAACAAGGTACCCGTGACCCAAATAAGAGCGACTCCGCGGTAGGCTTTCTTTTTAGTTTTCCAAGAGTGGTATCGAAACTTAAAGGCAATAGCGCCGTATCGATCAGCCATTAGGGCCACGAGCGTCAAAACGTTTAAGTATATCATGTAGTTATGCAGCGAAGAAAACGCAAAACTGACCCACTTTCCTTTGAAAACATCCAGTCTGAAAATGTAGAAGCCCGCAAAAAGCGGCATGTTGATCAGAGAATTGAACAAATCGATCACCGAGAGGTTTACGATCAGAGCGTTCGGCACGGTGCGTAAGTGTTTGAAGTGGTAAACCAGGTAGCAAACTAAACTATTTCCAGTAACAGCAAACAAGAAGATTATTGCCAGGAGAACGAACTGAGTTAAGGAAGTCGCCGTGAATTTTTCCTCCGCGTAGTCCGTTCCGTTTGTCATGATTCGTCCGACGAGAAGCGACAAGTTTGAAAAGATAAAATTTATAACGTCTAAAGGGATAAAAAAAATCGTAACTGTTGAATAGAGAGGGAGGAAGAAGAGCTTCGGTTGCGGTCACCAGTATCTCGATATTCTTCTCCAAAACTACAAGTAACTAGTCCCCCTTCGAAACACGTTTCAGAGGAAAGTCTCCAAATGGTGCTTTCAAGTGTCCTAAAATATTCACGAATAGAATCTGAATGCAATCAAGGCCTTTTCAACTCTAGACAAGGCAAAGCCAAAAACAAAAAGAAACATTAAGAATCTATGCTACCTTTGCAGTCGACATGTTACCCTAAAAAGCAAGACGTGTTCTACTTTTCCGATTCCGAAGAAATAATGCTATTCTTAAACTTTTGTCTTCAAAAACGCTTTTTGTTTCTTTCAAGATAGAAAAAGAAGAAATTCTTTGTTAAAAGGCTTCCTTTTCAAACATGGCCTTCGAATAATGCGAAATTATATTCTCTAACAAAGAAATATTCACAAGAAAATGTTTTCGCTTGAAAAAGGTTCCTTTTCAAAACGTTTTGGCCGTTCTCGAGTAAAAAGGTTCCTTTCCGAAATGTTTTCGCCGTATAATTCACACTAATACGACTCCAAAAGCAAAGTCTTTGAATAGCCCTACATAATGGGAAGGCTTCTCTACAAGAGAAAGGCAGATGAAAACATCTTCAGAACAAAAATTTTAATGTGCCATTGTGAAGATTGCAGCTGCTGAGGCTGTAAATCAGTCAAAACAGCCAATACCGAAACAGTTTGCCGTATTATTTACTTACCTGTGTTGTTGTCAAAGAAGCGTATATGTCGGTCTTCGTGGGCTGTGACTGTGAGGGGGAGGGTGGGGTGGCTAACTACTTTGTTAATTTGTGTTGAAGGTGAATTATCTATGGAAAGAAAGACAGAACAATGAGGCATACATCGGGTACCTCAAAAGGTAACTATTGTGTGTGACAAATGAGTGGCTTCGTCTATGTCGAACCTAACCAAGTGCGAGTTATAAAAGGTTCACGATCCAAATTAATTCCTATTAAGGAATGTGTGTCTTGGATCTTGAGTGCCACCCAAAAAAACAAACAAATAAAAATCAAGACGGATCGGAAAATCAAGTGAAAATTATTTCAGTTTCTCTACTCAAGTTAATCAGAGACGAATTCAATGCGCAATCAACTACACTTTGAACAAAACACTGAGATGGAACCAGTGCCCAAAGGACACCGGTACAACTAAACTACAGACCCACACATTGAAAGCGATCAAAGGAAACATGACCATGTTCTCTTGAAGGAAATATTTGCCACGTTTTGTGTCCCGTAAAAGAATTGGGCCATAATAATCTTGTGAGATAAATCCAATATTTGATCAGTGACGGATTATTGATAATAAACTGTAATCAGGGCAAGGCATAAAGAGACACATATGTCACGAGCGACGCTAGAGAACATAGGCATATTCATTTGCAATGAAGAGGATTGTTACTCGCTTCTCTGTGTCTGGTTGCCCAACAACACGAATCAATCATATCTCATTACATAACAGCATAAATCTCAACACAACTAACTTGTGAAATAGATTAGATTTTTGACTTTGAGATTTTGGGCGACGAAGAAATTGTATGAAATTAGAGGCTACTAGGAAATGAGTGCCTTCAATGAAATGGGCGTTGTTTCGCAGCATACTCACTGTATGTTTTTGCGCTGTCGAGTGAAACAACTGGTGCTGCTGTCTCCAAATCATAAATAATACATTGAGCAGATGAATAAGACGCTACCATCTGTGATGTCTCAGTGCGGATGAAGTCAACTGATGTGGGAACGCCACAGCCTTCTGTGAAGAAAAATTCATGAACACTCAGACGCGAGTTTCCCAGCCTATCGCTAAGGGTTACAATAACAAGATGGCGGCGAGAGGGGATGAACATTTCTTCAGCTTAATACTACGATCATCAGTTGAGTGAGGCGGGATAAAAATTTGGTGACGGGGTTTTGACCATAAAATTTCGGTGTTGTCACGGACAACCTTCCTTGTTTTCGATGGTAACCGAATCTCAAGAGTCGCGTTGCCAACCGTCAAACGATAAAGCCCGCCAGAAGAAGTCAAACGACATGTTGCCACAGGAAACGAAGCCAGTTGCCCGTGAAAACATCACGAATTTAACGTTAGAACGTGCTCACCAGACTCCCTCAACTGGAAATCGTTGTAAAAGTAAGAGTATAGCGTGCTAGCAAACTTGCTGTATTCTATCTAGACTATTGCAAGTATTGGAGTGATTAATAAGTGAATTTGAGTATACGAGAATCATATATATGCACAGCGGTTTAAAGACGTGTATGAGAGCGATCCTCGAAATAACGAACACAACTTAAGTAGTACAGGGCTCGAAAAATATTTGAATTACACCTTGCCCGTTGGGCAAATAACCCTTAGGTTTTGCTTTCCCGGGGCACTTCCCTGCTTGCCCAAGTTTTCAAACTAATTAATAATTCATGAACAGAGATTTAGTTGGATTTCACCCGGATTTTAGCATCAAAGGGCTAGCTTCGTTTTCGCGGTAGAAATATGCGACTTCTCAGTTGTCACGTACAATTTCTACAGTTTTAATTAATATATCGCGGTTGGGTTAAGTTTTGTACAGAGAAACCGAAACATTCTCGTGGGAAATTGCTACAATTAAGAAATAAACACAGCGTTTTCGTTCCCAACGCGGCTATTTTTATCCTGGAAAGAAATTGGATCGGGGAAGATTTTGATCACGTGCTAGGCAACCACTTCTGCGTCGTGAGCGCGCGTCACGTAATCAACAAAACAACGCTATTAAGTTGTAATTTACGTCAAGCTTCATCTAAACACTTGATTACCCTTGGGCCTAAAGCTTACCTTTTCTTCTCAAAATCGTTATCAAAGATTTAGTCGGCGAACGTCTTGCCCGCTGGGTCCTTGCCCGTCGGGTAAGTAAAGAGAGAAAGTTACTTGCCCGAAGGGAAAATCTACTTGTCCCGGACGACAGGACGGGGGTATTTTCGAGCCCTGTAGTTGTGAAAATAAGGCCTTATTTTCACTAATACTTTAAGTAGTGTTCATTACCGCGAGGATCGCTTTCATACATGTTGGAGCAATTTTTGACAAACTCAACTTATAAAAACGTCGCAGGGGAGGGGGGGGGAGGGGGATGGTCTAGATACAAGCATCAGCGCTTGAGATTTTAGGATTGACTCTGAATTTATTGTACCTTGTTCAGGAATGTAGCTATTCAGTAAAGGTGACTTTAACGTGGGACTCCAGAGCCGACATGTTCCATCTGCCGAAGCAGAGAGTAACTGTAGCGAGCCCGTCTGAACTGCCAAATCCCACACTGCATCTGTGTGAGCTACCAGCATGCCGCTGACATTATCCGAATCTGAGTAGGAATAATAAAAAGGTTGATTTAAGATGCTTGTTAAACATTTGTTACGATAGTTAGGCAAACGAAAACCTGATATGTTTCCAGAGCTGTCAATAACAAGCGTTTGCAGGCCAAAACTTCCGGCTAAGCTGCCATCTGCAGCCAACTAATTTTACAATGAGTTCTAGGGAGAAATCATACAATTATGGAAATACTATCGAGAAAATTTGTACAGTAGCCATTTCCAAGCTTTTCAGTAGAAATGAATGCTTAATTTATCGGTTTCCAGGTTCAGTAATGTGAATCGACTCCACGTTAAAAATTTGCACGCAGATTGGAGAGAGCATCGAGGAACACCTAGTAAATTTAAACCGAATACTTCCTAGCCTTGCTTGCAATCTGACGAAACAATATGACCGCCTTTCCATCTTATTGACAACCCAGACAAACTGGCTAAAGCGCGGCAAAATGCTGATGACCAACTCACGATTGATTTAACCTTGCATCTGATAGGTGGAGAGTGCCGCGCGAATTTTCTTGAGCAATCACCTCCGAATAATCAGTTTAAAATTACTCTTACAATTTTAGAAACTTACTGTAAGGGCCGTAAGGGTCGATGTCGAGAGACGGGATACTCCAACAGATGATGGTTGAATCAGCGCTGCCGCTGAAACACATCTCACTTGTGGAGTTTATCACAACTGAGAGCACAGGAGCGCTGAAAAAGAAAACCAGACTACGATTGATCGTTTATTACTGACAATATCGCTGGAGTACACCATACCTAAGGCCTATCTCTCCCAGATGTTACCAAGAACAGGTTTCTCCCTACCAAATCAATAGAGGTTTGCACAGCAGCCATGTTGGATGGCAGGAACAATAGATTATTTTACCCCTGGGAAAAAACTTCTTTCTTATGCAAAATATTTTCATTGTTGCTGCCATCCAACATGGCTGCTGTGCAAAACCTCTTTGCACTCGCAAGCGGACACGTTAGGAGAATAGTCCATTTTACAGTTGTGTGCTTGGTTGCCAAGCCTTTGAATGGGAGTGAGGCCAGGGTTGATCTTGTTATGATACAAACCTTGCTGCCTTTCAAATGTAAATCACTTTGTTATCATGCAAAGTAGACACAGGTCTCTATCACCACAAGGTCACCTTCAGCCTCACTCTGAATCAAAGGCTTGGCAACTAAGCACACAACTGTAAAATGGCCTATCGAGACATTGTTTGATTTAAAATCAAATTCTCAGAACTGACTTTCAAAGAAATGCATGGCAAACCGGAAGAAGAATTAATGATTCTATCAACAGAACCGACCTGTGACCCCTGAACGTATAAATTGGTTCTACATCTAACACATTGCTCCTGTAAAAAAAAAAACAAATAATAACATGAATAAAACTGTTGTCCAACAACCAGCCATAATGGTCCTATATCACTACTTTTCCTTTTAGTTTTTATTCTTGTCAATTGTGAACGCCAAAGATTGACTTGTCAAGGTCTGCTTCTGTCTGTGGTTTCTTATTACTGATGTTACGAGTAGAACTACACTTACTTTTTCTGAGGAACAGTTTTCTGAAGATTCCATAATTTAAGTGAATGATCTTCTGAGGCTGTGATAAGAGCTGACTCAGTCGGATGAAAGTACAAGGACCTGATGCTATCAAAGTGACTACAAAATAAACAGACAAAAACAGAGTAAATCATTTACTGTGCTAAAGTATGGACAGTCCAAGAAGAGACCAAGAGGAGAAGAACAACAAAAACTAAAAACAAATCAGAACAATAAAATCAGAACAAAAAAAGTGTCTCAAGTCATTTTCACTTTGATTGAAGTTAGTCATAGGTTGTTTCCAACTTCCCCCCTCCCCACAGCCAATTTAAAAAATCATTTTCCTAGGAGCAAAAAAACCCAACAAATAGAAATACCTTCTTAATGCGAACTTTGGGCTCCATGTTTTCCTGAACTCTTCCTTTGTGTTTGGCTAAATATAAAAAAACATATTTGTACCATTATGATATTGGAAACCAAAGATAACTTGAAGAAATGCATGTCATTTGTTGTCTAGAGATGGTGAATTTTAACAAAAAATTCAATAATAATAACAATGATAGTAATAACGGTAAACAGTAATAATCATGATACAGACCCAGCTTTGTGTTTTTCTAAATGATGTTGCCAATGCATGGTCTTGACAGTATATGTGTAATGGCTTCTCTAAATCGTTTTGTTTTCTATGTAGCTCCTTCTCAGCAATTTAAGGTGTGACAAAACCTTGAATTTTGAGCCAAACATCCATTGACACAGGTGTGTTATTCACTCACCTCATATGAGAGAGCTTCTGCCTCATTAGTGACAGTTAAACTTGCCAATTCACCAAGACCCAGAGCACTCTCAAATGGTTCGTCTGCAGTGGCCATGGGTGCGGTCACCGCAGGCTTCCCCACTGCACTTGAATTCCCAGGTAGAGAAACGCTTGCAATAGGTGGGATCTCAGATGTGGCACGAGTTCCACTCAGTCTGACTGGTGGAGGGACATTAATAATAGCAGGTGAAGGTGCTGGCTGGGGCATTTCATCCTCTCCCTCCAGGTTTGCCAGCATGGCTTGTAATGCTGACCTTGGTGGTCCTGCAGAAACAATGGAATAAAAATTTGATACAAACTAAAAAAAAAAAGCATCTATTATCAACAGGCAATATGATGATTATACATGTTTCAATAATAAATAATGTCTAAAGAACTTTTTTACTTACTCTTTTGACTCTTTTTGGTCTTTCTTTCTTTCTTATACTGTTCTTTCAACTTGGCCAGCAAGTTAGAATCAACACCCCACTCATTCTAGAATGCAAGAGAAAACCAGCTACTGTAAATACCATAGTAAAGCACATTCGAAAGAGCACTTAAAAAAAAAAAAAATGCAGAACTACAATGAGAAGCTTTCACCACTTAGACTTCTTGTGTGACAATTCATGAAAATATAGTACATCTTTTAAAATATTTCATCTTCTCTATCTTGTGAATAACTGCAATACAGTTGTGGTAGGCTAGTGTTTGTGCCAATGACTTGTTTATGGGCAACATGACTTCAGGTCAGTGAACACTTCTTAAAGGAAAAATGCACACTTTTTGATAGAAGTATAGTAATTAAGGAGTAATTTTTAACTGCGTAAAATAGACCACACATGACAGCATCTAAATGTACCAACAAAAAGATCCTCATTGACTTCAAGGCTCGACACTCACTTTTTAACTTACTAGTCAAGTAGCTAGTGATAACTTAGATGTTACATCAATTTCAGTTATTTTGCTAGCCAAACTGGCGAATGGAAATTGAAAACCACTTGCGAAGACTGTATTCCTACTAGTCTGTGGCTAGTTGGTTACTGTTAGTGTCGAGCCCTGAACTTGTAGACAGAGTCTTGAATTAACAGTTAACTGTAAGAAACTCAGTAAGTTTGCCAATTTTTAAGAAGTGTCCTTTTTCTGCTTTTTATAATTAAGTATTTTTTTAAATTAATTTTTGCAGTGTATATGTTGTAATCATTTTTATATTTCGATTTTAGCTCAAATTTCTATATTTTAATTGTATTTTTATATAATACACATCTAGTATTTAGGACCTCTAAGTAAACCACTATTGTGATGGAGCTTCCTAATAAAAGATTGTTATTATTATTATTTGCAAAGCTAAAAGCTATGACTAAAAAAATGCAGTGGAACAACACAAACCTGTGCTTCAGACCCATCTCTTGCATCTGTAAAAAAAAAAAAAAAAAATCACCAATGAAAAATTTAGTTTTGGGAAATTAAATAGTTTTAAATGAAGGCAAGTAAATTGTTAGTTGAAAGTTTCTTGTCATGGTATATTCAACCTTGTTCAGAAACAAAGCAGATCAGTAACTGCCAGTGACTTTATTTTTGAAAAATTACACAATTTTTAAACCATCACTCTATACAAAACACAGAGCTGGAAACACAAACTATACTTAAAGAAAATGTATGAAATCAAACTCTTATTCTCTGGGCTAAAGATCATAATGAGCTAACCGCCTCCCGGTTAGCTCAATGGATAGAGCGCTGGACTGATGTGCGGGAGGTCGAGGTTTTGAGCCCCAGCCAGACCAACACTCAAGGTCTTAAAATAATTGAGAAGAATATGCTGCCTTTCTATAACATCAAGAAATGGTGTAGTAGATATTCTAGTCTTCTCGGATAGGGGTGAATAAATGGAGGTCCCGTCTCCTGCAGGGTTAGGGGTAGGAGACATTAATTTCCCACGCATGAGATTGCATGATGGATGTCCTCCCCTGGGGTGGGATGGGTGGGTTGTTGTCTTGCGTTTCATACATGAGCTTCTGGCTCGGGCAATATGGGTAACCATGCCCCACGTAAAGACATTAAACTTTGATTACTATTACTAACTTGATTACTAATATGTTTCCCTAATATTTCTGCCTAATAATATGCCTTTTCAGAACTGCTGCAAAATGCAGTTTAGTTTGCAGACACAATCATGTAGGAGACGTTAATTTCCCACACACAATATTACTGTGTGATGGATGTCCTCCCCTGGGTGGAATGGGTAGGTTTACTGGGCCCACAGTGATTGGCGCAAGCTGTTGCAGTGTCCCTGCCTGTCGGCAAATCTTATAAATCATAAATCATGTACAATTCTCACCTTGAGAGGGAGGATATTCACTTTCCTCATGCATAGCAATATCCATATTATCAAGCACTGCAGCGTTATTGTCCACCTCAATCACCGTTACATCAGTCTCTGAACCAGAGTCTTCACCCATCACAAAATCAAACTCAGCCAGTGCATCAGCTGTTTCATCATCTACGGTGAGCATTTCATCAACTGCATCTTTACTCAAATCTTCAGAGGAACAACAACAACAGTCACGGTTATAACTAAGAAAATGGCCTGCTTGTTGTGGAAGCCATTCAACCTGCTGTGTCTATTCGTTTGCAACACCTCGTCTGTCAGTCTCGTCTGTGGGGCTACCAAGCTTCGAGTTTACAAAATGGCAATCCCAAACAGAGAGAGACACTATAGATGTGTTAGGACCAGTGAATTCAAAGCAACACTTCATTTCATCTTTCATAATTATGTGGTTTAGATGTAGTTTGGTATTTAATTTTGCCTTTTTGTTTCCAGACAGCAAGGTTTATATTTTTCCATTAAACCATAAAAAAAATCAAACCTTGTCTGTCGAGCAATTACTAGCCAAAATTCAGCTGGCGGCTGCCTCTTTCTCAGCGGGTGAATTTCACCGGCTGCTGGCGCTTAGCAACAACCCTGAACAGTTCACTATTATACAACTGTATATTGTTACTAAATATAAGTATTTAAAGGCTCTATATGGTCCAACGTACTTAGTCTAATGTACTTAGTCTACGCAAGACTCAGAAAACGTTGGTTAAAGATGTTAAGTTGTATTATTATTAGGAATCCATTTTGATTGCTTCTGCTTTTCAATGGCTGTTATGATGACTGATGGAAGCATGAAACAGAATCACCTAGGAGTGCCCATGTTGTTCAAAGGAAGAGAAACCACACCTGGTTTAGCTCTCTTGCCCATCCTCCGTCCCAATCTCATGTCATCTCTGTCATCAGATTCATCATCTGCACTCCCTCCATCATCTAGTTCATCATCGTTATCTTCCTCATCTTCCACATCATTTTGCAAAAAGTCAAAGTTGGCAAGTACAGCAGCTTCTGTCTCAAGTTCATCATCAATAGGTGCTCTTGAGTTCACCACAGGTCGCACTTGAGCACTGTTGCAAAAAATTAGTCCAGAAAACATTTTGTCAGTTTATCTTGGTAATTAACCTCCCAAAACATGGTGTTGAATATCAGGTTTTATTACACGACTTGGGAAGTCAGAGGGCTAATAACTAAAATCAACCAATCAAAACGCTCTATTGCCGGTCAATATTCTCTCAGTATTGGACCAGGCACTGTCCCGAATGGTCCCGAATGATACTGCACTTCTGTCCCTTTGAACTTCAGTCGTGTAAGAAATCTCTTATTAACCAAGCTTGCTTGGGACCATACTGGAAGAATGTCAGCCCTCTGTCTTTTTTGTATGGACCTCGCTGCGCTTGATCTGTACTGTCAAGACCTCGTGCCGATATTCTCCCAGTACGGCCCCCACGCTTGGTTAATAAGACATATTCGCACACCAACTAAATTATATTCTCTG